TCTGCCTGTGTTCCCGACTGGTCCTCTCTCCAGTCCGTTTCTTCCTGACTGGTTCATTTCCAGTCTCCTGCAGTCTGTGCACACCGGTAACATCGTTCCCCTTCCCTTACCTCTTCTCCATTGTGGGCAATGTCGATCTTAAGTGTGGGGGGATGTTTATCTTTTGACTGCATTCGATCTGGTTGGGTGCTTGGAGCCTAGTCCACTGTCCAAATCTCGAGATTTGAGGGCTCCAAGCACTGCTGTTTGCTTGATAATTGATTGTATTGGCATTGTGGATGTGATTAGAGAATTGAATGGCTTTTGACTCGATGCATGAAAACTTGAGTGTGACTTAGACAGCTTATTGTGATGACTGAGATGTGCAGTAGAGTTGTGTAGGGGTTCAGTTTTCAACTGTTTGCTTACCAACTGTGACTTGCATTTGATCACTTGCTTTTGACAGTCATTTATGCATCTAGTTCAGGGAATCAGAATGTGAGATAGAGCATATAGGTAGCCATGTGAGATTTGAGCCTGCTCGTTTCTTTCTTGTGCGATAGATCCCTCTTCCATGAAATGTAGCATTCACGTTGTCACTAGCTAAGATGATGGAGACATAGGATTAGCCCACGACCAAATTGACTGTCCTGGTGTGTCATACCCCTAGTCAGCCCCTTTGAGCCGTGTGTTTTCCTTTCTTTCGGTCTTCAATGAAAAGTCACCCTTTTGCATCTTTTAGAAGGTTCCACAGAGTGATTTTTACATGTTCGCTGCTATTTCTGCTAAATGTAATGTGAGGGTTGGAGGAAGTGCTTAAAAGTTGGGCGTGTAATTGAAAAATGTGAAGAGGTGGTGGTTTTCTTAAGGAAAATAAAGAAAAGCAAGGAAAGAAAAAAAAAATTTCAAAGCAAAAGAGAGCCACCACCAAAATTCTAAATAGTGCCCATTAGGTAGTGTTTCTTAGCAGTCTTGCTAGGAAATGCTGACATTTATATAACCTCCTTCGCTCTTGTACCTAAAGAAGTTGAGTAATGCAGAATAGCAGAATGAAAGTTACTGGTTTGTTTGACTGTGGTTTTGTTGGGTTTGGAAATGTGGAACCTTGTGCTAGAACTACCACCACCTAAAAGGCTTTTTCCCCATGTCCAAGACCCTAGCCAGTCATTTGAACCTGTGTCTAAGACCTCCAGATTAGTTAGTGGTGACACCCCCTATGTGAACTCTAGCATTTAGAGGCTGCATTCATGGTGAAGAGACGTTAGGGATTGAGAGAATAAGCATGCGCATTTTTCGCATCAAATTGTCCTAACCCCACTGGTCGAGAGTGAGCGATTCATTTTCTCATATTTTCTATACTCTTTACCCCGGTGAGGACCTAGATTGCTCGGTCTTAATTCTGATATCTTGAGCTTTGTGCATGAAGTGACTGTTTTGAACGAGTGGTTGAGTCAAGTCTATGTTGGTTGGTGAATAGGAGAGAACTCTTCCTTTGCTCGACTTTATTGCACTCTAATGTCGTCTGTGGTGGTTTTCTAGGTTGTCATTCGAGTTGCCATGTGTTGATGATCGAAAGCCAGTATGATCCACGTGTTTTGTGCCGATACGATTTGCCCTTAAGCCTACTTGCTTGAAATGTTTTGAGCTTACCTGGTGTCTGACTTGGTTTGCTTAGGGACAAGCAAACGGTTAAGTGTGGGGGAGTTTGATAGACCGATAATTACACATGTTTTCACCCCTATTCTGAAGCCGTTTGTGATGTGGAATCTCGTGTTTTAAGCCGATTTCACGCTAGGTTGTGTGTTTATGTCATATTTCAGACCCGGCGTTGGAATCGAGGCGGAGAAACGAGTTCTGGGTCGAAAGGAGCCGAGTTGGGACTAAGGGGGCTGCAGGAGGAAAATACCCGGTCAGGTGGCAAAATACCCGACCGGGTATTTATCAATTTGGGCACCCGTGAGAAACAGAAGGGGGCCCGGGCAAATGGCTAAAATCCCCGGTCGGGGATTATAGAGTCAGACCGGGGATTTTCCCCAGGATGAAACGGCGCGTTTTGTATATACCCGGTCGAGACCCGAAATACCCGACCGGGTATTTCGACCGGGTATCGCGATCTGGCAGCTGATAAAAGGAAAAGAAGACCAACTTTCAAGGGTTCCGAGTTTTTGAGAGAGAAAGCGATTCCTAGAGAGAGAAAGCGACGAACCAGAGTTCCCAAGTGCCATAGCTTGATCTTCATCACCATTGGAGCCCGGCTTGAGCTTGGAGAAGTGCCGATTAAACGTCCAGGAGCAGAAATCCGTCTTCACAGTATGATTTCCGCGTCTGAATATGCTTTTGCTTCTTTCTCTATGGAGTAGTTCCCCCATTCATCTGGGTATGGGGAACCCTAGATTTGTATGCTAGGTCTGATTGTATGAACCCAAGTACAGAGTTTGTGAATTGATTATATTCGATTGAGGTTTGAATGATTGAATGGCATGAATCCTGATCAAATTCCTGTTGTTTCTGCTTTAACCTAGAATGAGAATATCTGCCTAGGTTGATAGAGCATCCTTAATTGAAGGTAGCGAATTGGTGACTTTAGTCGAGGAGCCAATTCGCTATTCTGTATCGAAGTCAATTCGGTAGTGGAGGTTTGGTTCGTTAGGGCCTCAATCTGTTTACTCCGGTGGAGGTTAGTCGCCCGCTAGAGACTCAGATTGAGAGGGTCTGAAGACCTTTAGTCGAGACTTCAGACGGTTTAAGAACCTTCCGCAGTATAACTTTCATAAAAACTGAACTTGGTAAATTGCAATCCGGCTTAACTGCAGTCTAGGGGGAACCATATCCAGGTGACCTCTCTTGACTTGAACAACCGCTAAACTTGCTTTGTGTTTTTGTTTGTTTGAATCTGCACTAAAAGTCCACTGCTAGATAACGAGAATTCACCGAGTAGTCATCACATCTAGGACCCGGGTTGACATTAAAACCCAAACCCGCTATACTACGCTTTTGGAAGTGGTTACACTTGGCCATTTTCTAGAGTGACAGTAGGAGTGAACCAGCAGGCGCTCAATTCTGTTTCTTCTTGCTTTGAGTGATCCAAAAGCCTCTTTACTCCAACTCAGCAGCTTTGTCTCACAATCTTTAATTCGGTCCATGATCGAAACATTCTCCTGGTTTAGCCATCCCTCTCTAACTGTCTCCTGGCAATCCTTGTGCTTTTCCCAGTAATGTTCATACCTAAATGACCATCCCCATGTGATCTCCTCTTCCAAAGTGTTCAAAACCATCTGAATTGGTATATGGTCAGCACCACATCTGTCTAGGTGATTTAAACGAATGTTAGGAAGCAAACGAATGTTTGCTACTGCCCTGTCCAACCTCTCTTTAGTGTAGTTCTCCTCGTCACGGTTGTTTTCCCATGTGAAAATTCTCCCAAAATAGCCACAGTCTTCGAGGCCACAATCTTCCAGAGTGCCTCGAAACATTTCCATCTCCCTTATATCTGGTTCCCTATTTCCACTCTTCTCCAAATGATGAGCAAGGAGATTAAAATCCCCCATAACTAGCCAAGGAAAATCCACTTGCTGATGAAGCCGCCTTAACAAAACACAACTTTTATCCTTGTTTTTACCCTCAGGCCATCCGTAAAATCCTGTGAATCTCCATTCTGCCCCTGTTGGTTGATATTTAACTTTAGCATCAATATGATTTCTCGATAGGGACATAACCTGCACTTGCACCTCAGCTTTCCACATCAGGAGAAGCCCCCCGCTCTGTTTGTTCCTGCTGATACCCCATCTCCATCATGATAACCAAATTCCTTGATCTTTTCCTTCCACTCTTTCTCATACTGTTTTGTCTCCATCAGGAAGACAATGACGGGATCATATTGGCGAAGCAGACTCTTCACCTTTCCAACTGCCAAGGTTTTCCCAAGCCCTCGGCAGTTGTAACTCAGTAGACTCATTGGGCTCGGCGGCCCTGCTCTCCTGCAGGGTCCGCCTTATCGCCATCCATATCATTTATGCATCCTTCTGTCGCCTTTATTACCTTCTCGGAAAATATTAAGGTTCTAGCCTTCTTATTTGTTAAGTTGTCCTCTTCCATTGGGTAGGTACCTCCCCTCTATCCACATGAGTCCTCTTTTGGGGAGTTACTACCACTCCCCCACCCCCTATATGTTTTGTCTGCTCCTGTCTCCTCCAGCTTTTCACTGTTGGTTTCCGATTATCCCTTCCCTCCTGTTTTTCCATGAAGAGTCTCTCTACTGCTCCCACTCCCAGCCCATGTCTCGGCTGCTCTGTCTGTACTTGTTGTTGTGTTTCCACTGGAGTCTCCTTTCTGAGCTCCAGAGGGGTGTGATCAGTTAAATGTTGCACTACTTCCTCATTTTCCTTCGTATTATTGTCCTGCAACTTTGCTTCTTTTCCCTTCTGGCCTTCTATGATCTGCTGGCCTTCACATTCTTCAGTCTGTGTCTTTTGATTAGTTTCCATACTCTTTGCCTCTGGTTCTTTTGGTTGTCTTACAGGTTGATTGGATCCAGTACTTTCAGCTTCGAATTTCTGGCGTAACTGTCTCCAAATATCATCAACATCCGCTCTCTTTGATCCTGAGTGCAGCCAGTTGCGTGGGGCTGGTGGTGCTGCTCTCCTAAACCCTCGCTAATCGAGAGAAACACTAGTAGCTGTTTCAAGGATTGTAGATTTGTGAATCGATTTGTATAAACTGGTCTTTAGGAAAACTGGCTCGCAAAAAGCCTTCTCCTTCTCGGACACCACTAGGGTTTCCGCCGCTCTCCTAAACCCTCGCTAAACGAGAGAAAAACTAATTCCATGTTTCCACCATAACCCACATTCGAAGCACATATAACCAAAAATCTTAAAATGCATACCAAAAAAGGCAAAAACACGAGAATGCAAACACGGTTATACTCCTTTTGTCCCTATTATTGCACGTTATTTCGCCTATTATAACACGTCTAATATCTAAGCAACGGAAGGTATAAGTCTCTTCTCTTCAACGCTAGCACCAAATGTTGAAATTTTTTTTTGTGGCCAGCCAGCCATCTCACATTCGTTAGCTGGTGATGAGGATGAGGCAGGCAAGCACAGAGAATATTTCATCTTGCATTTTGGGGAAAATCCAATCAAATATATTTTTATCCATAATCCTCTCACCGGCGGCGGCATTGGCCTGCATATATATTATATATAAGCTCTCAAACCCATTAATTAATCCCTTCTCTATCCTGAATGCCTTTGCCATTCATCTCTTCTTGTTCTGTGAAAACCAATTATCAAATACAAGATATATATTAATCGAGTTACAGGCAAAGGGATATCGACGAGAGAAAGAAAAAATGATAATGAAGAAGAGCAGCATTAGCAACAACCCTCTGCAGCTCAAGTCGTTGAATCACATCTCGGTGGCGTGCAGATCGCTAGAGAGATCTCTGGAATTTTACCAGAACGTTTTGGGATTCTTTCCCATCAGGCGCCCTGGCTCCTTCAATTTCGACGGTGCATGGTAATCAAAACTTAGATTTCTTTTTAATTCCTTCTTTCTGCAAACTTGATGATTTTGTATGTTGTTTAAAGTTAGATTTTGCATGGCCATATGAACATGCTGCAGGCTGTCGAATTATGGGATTGGGATCCATCTTCTGCAATGCGATGACCTCGAGGAGGAGGACGTTCCTGCAGCAGGCATCACCCGCATTAATCCCAAGGACAATCACATCTCTTTCCAGGTAATGATTCGATTCGAGTTACTGATACAAGATGGGTTCTTGATATGTCGGAGTCTTTGATTAATTAAGAAGTTGCGCTTTTGAACTTTGAACCATCACAATATCGAATATTGACAGTTGATTTTACGTAGAACATTCATGATGCATGGGATTTGAACAGATTTCGACCCTTTCGGTTCATTTTCGTTTGACGAATGTGTATGGGGAATAATTAATATTCGTAGGTGGTTCAATCTAGCGTAAGTCTGGTGTATTCTATCTTATCGTACACCTATCGCGAGTTCTATCATTTATACAATGAATGAACCGGAGTTTGGTTCATGATATACTATATCCTAACCCTAATGGGGTGAACGCCTATTCATAATTCTCTAATCCAAATCATAATATTCATTTAATCTAACAATAATAGTCGATGTTTCGTATTCGTACAAATATATATATATATATATATATATATTGAACTACATGTTATAAATGTGAAAACATGAGTATAACAAGTAGGCTAGTTTTGTACCAAAGATGTTTTGGCCAGAAAGGTTAAAAACTTTATGATATTTCATAATTTCCTTAACTACACATATTTGTTTGATTTCCATTTGCATGTCATGGCAGTGTGAGAGCATGGCGATGGCGGAGAAGAAGTTGAAGGAGATGGAGGTGGAGTACGTGAAGAGTAGGGTGGAGGAAGGAGGAGTTTACGTGGATCAACTCTTCTTCCACGACCCAGATGGCCACATGGTTGAAATTTGCAACTGCGACAATCTGCCGGTGGTTCCGTTGCTGCCGGCGGCGGCGGCCGTGGTCGTTCGTGGCGGTGGCTGCAGATCATCGGAGTCCAACATTCTGAGTCTCGGCCGGCCGTGTAGCACGCTGAATTCATCAACTTCATCATGATGATGATGATTAGCAGATATATATTACTTGGAAAGAGTTAGAAACTGATTAATTGTATATAATTGAATAAGTAATGTTGTATTTGTTAATGCCGTTCTGCATTGTAAAATATGGATTTCTTTTCCTTTTCTAATTTAATTATGTGCATGTTAATTAATTAATTGGGTAGCTGGGTTTTTAAGACTTTTTTTTCTTCTTTTTTTTTTCCTACGAGTATGTATAATAGAGTTTGATTTTCGTAATCCGTTGTTGTCAGTTATGTGAATGATTGTATTTTTTTTTAACATAGTCAACACCAGACGATTGTCTGGAAACAAAGTCAGATTACAGATGATTGTATTTTCGCTCACGGGATTTGTAGAAAGTAAGGAACAAGTTGAGGCTATACGAATTAGGGCGGTAAGCATGACTCTATAGTTTAGTTTGGTCCTGCTGTAGTTTTTGCAGAAGCAGTTTATAGCTGGAGCTTTTAGTGTTTGACTGTAAAACTATTAGAAGTGCTTTTTAATATGAGCGATTGTGTAAAATGACTATAAAGGACTTATAATATAAAATATGAATAAAAATTCTAAACAATAGAAAGTAGTCAAAATAGAGCTTGTTAGATTTCTTTTATATTAATAATATGATATTATAATTTATTTTTATTTTAAAATGATATAAATGAAAAAAAATTATATTTTCTGAAATAAAATTAAAATATGGTAAGGATAATCTTGTATTTTCGAAACAGCTTTTCGCAGAAGCTCCAAATCGGAGCTTCTGCTTTTATGTTATACAAAAGCGTTTTTCAAAAGCCGAGCTTTTAGAGGTGTTTGGCTCTACTTCAGCTTTTGATGCTGAAAAGTACTTCTAAAAGCCGGGCCAAACATAGGCTACTACTTAAGCTTTTGATGCCGAAAAACACTTCTAAAAGTCGGGCCAAACATAGGCTATATATCCACCCGGTCTGATTGGGATAGTTTGTCTACAGGATCAATTTAGTGTTAAATTATATTTTGGCCATGTAAGAGTTGGGTAGGGTCGAGAGAATTTTGTCACTTTTTGGTCATGTGATACATAGCAACAACTAGTGATTTGAAACTCGAAGAAGATAGGGTACTCACATATTGGACTATACCTGTTTGTAAAATTTTAAAGATTTAGGTAATATAATGCAAGGTAAAGATATAAAGGTACTAAAACATAATTTTATCATCAAAATTTCTGGACCCATTTGTAAAAAAATAAAGTTAGATACTAAATTGTAAGAAAAATAAATTTGAGTATCAAAGTTTATAATTTGGCCTTGCAAATCGAGTTAAGGACGGGGCTGGCCCAATTTCAACTCTAATAATAGAAAGTATCGAATGAGTGTTTGAAGTTTGTCCAAGTATACACATAGAGAAAGATAAAACCAAATTTCTTACCTAACACCTGCCATATAGTTTAGCTATAAATAACAAAGGAAAGAGAAAGGTGTAGGTATTAAATAGGTTCATTGAACATTGGAGTTGAAAATTAGTTACACCAAGTACATGCACTAATAGTAGATGAACTAGCTAGTATTAGATTCATCAACGTATCCCCAAACAAGATCAACAGGCTACGTCTTGACTTGCATATTGCAACTCACGGGTAAATTAGATGCCCATGATGAGAGTTCTTTTTATTGGTTTATTTTATTTGGATTGAGTACTATTCATATTTATTATTCTGAATCAATTATGTGCTATGTGATATCATATTTGTAAGAAGTATCACGTTTGGATGAGTTACAATTAGTAATATTGTTAAAGTGGTTTTACATTTAAATTTGTAATTTGCCACCTTATCCTTCTTAGGGCCTCATTTCTTTCTTGATTTTCCATTGAGAGGGATATTTTATCTTACATTGCTAGTTAAATATTGGAATAATTGTATGTGTTTTATAGTATCTAAACTTTTTCTTACAATTTAGTACCTAAAAGAGTTGCTAGTAAAAAGGTCCATAAATTTTATGCATGAGAGCTTGTAATTGTCATTTTAGTGAGCCTAAAACTTTTTTAAAACTTTACAAACGGGAATATGTACATTGATCTAGTTACCAGGAAAGTAAGCGAAAAAAGAGGGGGCAATTAGATAGGAAAAACATAAAAGAGTTGGTCTAATAGTAATGTGAGGATAAGAACGGGTTCGGGTGGTGTCGTTTTTCATATTTACCATCCAAAAATCACGATTTCAAAATTTTAGGGTTCGGGTGGTGTCGTTTTTCATATATACCGTCAAAGAATCACGATTTTAAAATCTTACCCATCTCTGTAACCAAAATTGTGTGGGAATGTAATCTGACAGGGTAAAATACCTTTGATGCCACTAAAGTATGAGAATTGGGGGAGCTATACCACTAAAGTTAGAATAGGGCGTCGGGTACCACTAAGGTCACTGAATTGTGCATCCGTTTAAAATTCCGTCCATCTACCGTTAAACAAGAATAAAATATTATTTTCTTGACAAAAAAATAAAGAATTATACAAAACAAAAGGAAAAATTAAAGCAAAAACATAAAACGTTTCCTCTCCCAAATGGCCGTAGCGTCTCGCCGTCGCCGCCGTCCTGGCCTCCTCGCTTTCTCCACTTCACTAATCACTTTCATGTCGACCAAGAAGTCTCTGGGGGATACAGGTGAGGGTGTGCGTCGGGAACGTTGAGAGGGCGCTCTTACTGTTGTGCAGCGGAAGATGGAATCGATCAAGTAGCCGCAGGCGACTCACCTGAAGAACTCGGAGAATCGAGTTTTGGCTCCCAATAATCCGATGAACTTTTATAAGTCTGAGGATCTCACCCGCAAGCTTCGGGACATTCTCCGTTAGAGATGAATTTAAATTAAACACTTGTATCAGTGTATGGATTCTTATAATTCTCCTTAGTTTTTTTTATACGAGGGGAGATGGTGAATTTGTTGAATCTAATGGAATGCAAACTAACAGTTTATATTATTGATCAAACGAGAATATATACACATGACAGTTGTGCCTAGACAGTTTGGCATCAATCCACTTTCCCATGTTCTCACAGCTACCACTACTCTTAACTGACTCAAACCCAGCAGACTCAAACTACGAACAGGACCAGACTGTCTACAAACTAAACAAAAGGACCAACACACAAATTTACCAACACGACACAGTATTGACAACATGACACAGCCTTGCCAATACGACACAGTACTAATTCAAACTTAAACCTTAACTCAGCTAGTCTTCGCGCCAAGAACCTCTGCTGCACTTAGGACTTCAGCACCAATCCAGATTCAACATCTTCAACATCCTCCCCTGAACTGAAACATCTCACAAGCTTCAGTTCAATTTCAATTCAGCACCATCATGAACTCCAAGGTGACTTCGTAGGAGCATAAAAGAGTCCAACTTGAGTGGTTTAGTCATAATATCAACTACTTGATCAATGGTTCCACAGTGATGCAGCTCAACCACTCCTTCTCTTGCAAGCTCCCTTAGAAAGTAAAATCTAACATCTATGTGCTTACTCCTACCATGTAGCACTGGATTCTTTGAAAGTTTAATGACCGAGCTATTATCACACATAATTCTTGTTGCCCCCTTTACACATTCCCTCCAATTCATCTACTCAAGAACCCTTCGAAGCCACACACACTGGGAAGCACAATATGAGGCAGCCACAAACTCAGCTTCTGTGGTTGACAAGGTCACCACCGACTGCTTCTTTGAAGACAACGAGATGGCTCCTCCTGCAAGAAAGAATACACAACCACTAGTAGGTATTCTGTCATCAAGATCACCTGCATGGTCACTGTCTGTGTACCCTAGCAGATGATCTTGTTCATTAAATCTCTTGTACTAGATTCCATGCCCTGCTGTCCCTTTTAAGTACCTTAAAATTCTCTTGACTGCAAGCAGGTGCTGCCTTGTGGGAGACTCCATGAATCTACTCAAAAGACAGACTGAGTACATAATGTCTGGTCTGGTTGCAGTGACATAAAGCAGGCTTCCTATCAATTGCTTATATTCTGTAGGATTCAAAAGAATGCCATCTCCAGCCTTGGTGAATTTTGTTCCAACAGTCATGGGATTATGCACAGAATTGCACTCTGCTAGCTTAAACTTCTCTAGTATATCATTCACATATTTCTTTTGATGTATGAAAATTCCACCAGCAGCCTGTGTTACTTCAACCCCCAAGAAGTATTTCATCCTTCCAAGATCAGTCATCTCAAACTCCAACTTCATGGACCTCTTGAACTCCTCTAGCATAGCTGCACTGGTACTTGCATACATTAAGTCATCCACATAGAGTGAGACCATTAGCACATCAGCACCAGACTTTTTGACAAATAAGGTATGCTCATACTCACACCTTTCAAATCCATTAATCAAGAAATAAGTTTCTATCCTGCTGTACCAGGCTCTAGGAGCCTGTTTCAGTCCATACAAGGCCTTTTGAAGCTTGTATACTTTACCTTCCTCCCCAGCAACCACAAACCCTTGTGTTTGCTCAATGTAAACCTCCTTAGTAAGTTCACCATGCAAAAAGGCACTCTTTACATCAAGCTGATAAACTGTTAAACCATGATGAGCAGCCAAAGCCAAAAAAGTCCTGATGATGTCCCATCTAGCCACTGGTGCAAAGACTTATGTGTAATCTACCCCATACTGTTGAGCATACCCTTTTGCCACTAGCCTTGCTTTAAATTTGTCTATAGAACCATCTTCCCTCAGTTTGGTTCTAAATACCCACTTAACTCCAATTGGAGTCACTCCTGCTGGTTTGTCAACTAGCATCCAAGTATTATTCTTGATTATACTGTGGATTTCTGCCTTCATTGCGTCTCTCCACCTTTCCTCCAATACTTCCTGCTCAAAGGTTTGAGGATCATCAGATACTGCCACCATTGCCAGCCAATCAGTACCAGCATAGGTGCATTCATAAACATCCAGATAACCAGGAGGCTTCCTGTTTCGAGTTCCAAGCCCTCTCCCAGTTGGTTGCAGATCTGATGCAGTGCTTATTTCTAGGGATGGCAATGGGTCGGGTTGGGTCGGGTTTTGCCAAACCCAAACCCAAACCCATGGGTTTATCTTTGAAAAAAACCCGGGGTAAAACCCACTGGGTTTGACAAACTCAAACCCAACCCAACCCGTTGGGTATCCGCGGGTTCATGGGTACCCACGGGTTTTGTCGTAAAAAATTTACAATTACAAGTTCTTATCAAAA